ACATGAGAAATCGAGTGAATATCCAATGTTGTAAAAATTTGAATTTCAAACGCTCATAAAAATTTAATTTGACTTTCCGGTAGAAATTTTTTTATTGATAAAGGTAGACAATCTTATGAGTAATCTTGTATTAGATTTTCAAATCTTAGATTTAAAAAGAAAAATTTTTACGAATTCTTAACTCAAAATAATTTGCTAATTTTCGTGATTTTTCCATATTTTGTCAATTTTTGAACTTTAAATGCTTATAAAAAAAAATTGTGACTAAGGATTTTTAATATTTTTCATCTGCCTTTGAAACAACATATTAGGAGCCTTCTATTAAATTTTCAAGCTTTCGCAACCAACAAATAAAATTTTATTGATATTTCTAGAAAAAAAACTAAAAAAAAACTAAAAATGAAAATGTCCCTAAACTGTTCAAAATAAATCAAAATATTTTGAAAATGTTATCGTGTATAGAAGATGCAAATATAAACAACCAGTGAAAATTGCATGTGCCTACGGTCATTTGTTTTAAAGTTACACCAAAAACCAAATTCAATTTTCTGAAAAATCGATTTTGCGTAAAAATTCCCGTTTTTCCTTAATTTTTCTTTTGTTTTTCCCGGCGCTCTTGAAAACTACTGGGAAATTTAAATTTTGACCTCCCCAATGCACCAACGATATTCACTTTCCAATCGAACAAGATACTGAAGTCGAAAATCGAAGCATTATTTCGACTACTTATCGTGTACACAGACACAAAAAAAATAAATATAAAAATAAAAAAATAAATAAAAAAATAAAAAAAAAAAATAAAAAAAAAAACACACATCATTGTAAAATCAATACATTCATCGTTTCACTCAGAATCTAAAAGGGACACCTCACTTTTTAGGGGTGTTCTCAAATACGAGGGGTATTTTCCCACAGATATTTTATGCCATGCAATAAAAGAACGTAAAACTGGCAAATGTTGTTGTCTCCGTCTTACAAGTGCCAGATCACGTTTAGCTTCGTTAGTTTAAAAATTATGGTGAAGTGGCTTATTTAGAAACTAACGAAGAAAACGTGATCTGTTGAGCTTAAATTTACCATGTTAGGTAGGTAGGTACCTACGTACTTATATGTAAGACGGAGACAACGAAATATGCAAGTGTTACTGCCTCTTAAAGAGTGTGTGATAATTTAGTTACTAATTTTTAATTTATATCTTAGATTAGACATAGGAATGTTCGGTTCGAAAACCCTATACCCGTTCGTTACATCTCTCATATAGATATATTATTATTTATTATAATATACTTACATCACTGTATGTATTAAACAAGTCTAATCTATAATCATATTACCTATATACTAGATGGAAGATACACAATTCCAAAAATCTGAGGACAAAGATCCCGTAGTACTAGAACGAAGTCGCTCAGGTCAAGTCTACTGGATGAATGAAGTCGATGCTATTGAATATTTTGATGCACTAAATACTCGTATTGAATCTTTTACCGGATTTTCTACAAAAACAGCTGAGCGATATCAAATAGTTATGGTTTAGGTGGTCATTATCTTCCACATTATGATGCGCATAAAAATGGTGTACGTAACACAATTATTTACCTATCGGCTATACCTATAATGCTTTTTTAAAAATATCGAATGACAATAATTATGGAATAGGTATGAAATATATAATTTATAATCTATAAAACTCTGAACCATTAAAATCGTTATCTATTATACCTATTATTTGATTTTTTTAATCGGATATTTTTTTTCAGGAACATACGGTGTTTGGTAACAGATTAGTAACAGTATTATTTTATGTTAGTCAATTTTATTTTATGCTCAAGTATACTCTATTCCCAAAAGAAACGCAAACGGCGGCGACCATGTAACACCCGTTTGTCACCCCACAGAGACAAATTCTATGAAAATAAAATACAACTATTTAAATAAAATTATTTTTGTACATTAACTGTGGTATAATTGCCAAGCCCCTCCAGCCAAGTCGGCCGCCGTTTGCGTTTCTTATTGTGAATAGAGTATAGGTAGCTATAAAAAATATAATAATTCATTTTTATGTTTTTAGTTGACTGGTGTTCAAAACGATGGTTATACGTCTTTTCCTTTGCTAAATATTATTGCTCCGGTTGCAAAAGGAGCTGCGTTGGTTTGGAATAATTTGAATATGTCTGATGGACAATTATGCTATAAAACTCTTCATGGATCATGTCCTTTATTGAAAGGAAATAAATGGAGTTAGTACCTATATATTTCACTTTTGCTTTTATAATTTATACGGGGATGAGACATTGATAATAGAACAACAATTAATTCTAAAATCTACATTACTGCCATATGTAATTTAAGTTTGTATGATTCATATAATCTTCGATACTACTAAATTTTAAGGTTTTCTAAGTTTCCAATTTCCATACAAATTTGTTTAAAATATAATGATTATCAATGAATAACGATACATACTTCTAGAATATTCGTATATTGAACTCATTACAGTTTTTATACCAATGTCAATTTAAATTTTACATTTAATTTAACGTATAATATTTTTATAGTAGGATATAGTATCCTATCCATTGGCGTAACCAGGGAAGGTTTTGGGTACATAAAAAATTTAAAGTTTGAAAATTGACATAAGCATAACTTAATGTTTAATAAAATTATCAATAAGAGACGGAGATAACACATGTCAAGTGCGAGTAGTACTTTGTTTGTTTAGTGGTTTTTTTTTTATAAATTAGGTGCCTATATATTAATAATTAATAATGTAATATTTTTGTTCCTATATTATGTATGATCACTAAAATAAGATCAATGTTGATACGAAGCAATTACAAGAGATGCCTAATAAACTATTTATAATTTTTAGTTATGACTAGATGGCTATACGAAGAAGGACAACATTTGCCTTATAATTGGAGAGACGTGTACAAATATTATGTATGATGAAATAAAAATGTTTTGTGTATATAGTAATAAATGACTCTTAAGTTATCTATTTTTACTCTATTTTTGTAGTCTTCCACTATTACTGTTACTCACATATTAATTAAATATAGATTATAGGTACAATATTACTTTCTCAACCAGAAATAAGGTAAATTGCGTTCAAATACATAGGTGGAAATCCATTAAAATTTGAGGGAGGGCTAACATTATTAACATCAATGTGAGATGGGAGCTTCGATTCTACAAAACTAAAATGAGGGGCTTTACATACTTGGGGGATAAGCCCCCTCAAGCATCCCCCGATTTCCGCCAATGTTCAAATAGTTTATCAGTGGTTTATTCCATTACACCTAATAAACATTTAAGAGTTACCTACACTTGTGGCTTGTTACATAATATAATATATTATTTAGTATTTAACCATATAAGTAGTATAATTTAGTACTTATCGCTTTTAATGTTTTCGCTGTATTAAAGTTTTTGGTTGTTATTTTAACTTTGACCATTTACATTCTCGATTTTTCCAATTTCCATATATCAATCCTTAAACTTGTAAAGTTATTGTAAGTTCAAAAAGAATGTTCAAATGGTTTTTGTAAAGAAATAAGATGGACTATGCTGTGTTGAGTGTTTTTTAAACATTATTTAAATAGTGGTATACAATAATTTATGTCATTGAATTAAATTCTATGATATTTAATTTTTAATACTGTGTATACAATTGGAATCTTTTAAAACAATTATCTTATTGCTGCTTATATTATAGAATGTATATAGTATATTTATAGGTAGGTATATCTTTGAAACTTGAAGTTCATACTTAACATCACTATTCACTATATTGTATTATTTAATTTATACAATATACATATAATATAGGTGCCTACCTACTAAATGGCTGGGTCTATTAAATTATTAAATATTTTTTACTTCTGTACAAAGTCCTAAATTATTCTTGTATAGGTACATAATATTCAATATTGTCCTCATAATAATTCTTTGACGTATGGTATAAATGACTTAAGTCAAAAATTGACATTTTTGTCTTATAGTGTCCTTAAAATCAAACATTTTTATATTTTTATATTTTGTTGGTACTGATCACGTAAGACAAAACTCACTATCAGTGAAATTTGTTATTTGGTCTAAACATTTTAAGTCACATTATATTGGGTACAAAACACGCATGTCTAGAGAAATGATTTTAAAATATGGTCTTAATATCTTAGGTCAAGTTTAGTAATAATTTTAAATGCATGCCCTAATAGCGTAAGTCATATAAAATAAAAATCCAATTATCTTAAGTCACTTGAAAATAATGAAGAGTTGATTTTAAAGTTCTACTTAATAGTTAACAAAAAATTTGGTACAATGAATATTAAATTTAATTAATTATCAGCCCAGACACTATTGTCTAAGATTTTGAATGATTTTTACATGTTTTGTTTAATCTTTCTGAAAACTAGTAGTTTTTGACTTAAGACACTTGTATTATACGCCAAAGAATTGTTGTATTGATTGTCACAATATTTTACTTAATTTTGAACATTGTACATTTGCACATTTGTATGTTCTAAGTTCTAACAATTACCTTTTATTATGATTAGTTATGATGGGCAATGGTGGTATACCAATAATTTAATTACGATTTCAAAATAATCTGGTAGAAATATAACGGTTCTATACTTTTCATATACCCCCTCCTAACTGAAAACCTGTTCATATGTAACTATAAATTAATTAATACTATCCCACAAATTTTTTGTGGTATTTAAGTTGTTTACCTAAAGTATAATATTCAGGTTGTATAAATAATAATATATAAGTATAGGTACCTATATATATTTCAAATAAATCAACCGGCTTTTTAATGGGCGTTTTATCATAATGTCCACAATATATAATATTATTATGTTTACTCAATAATGATTCTGAAAAAAAATTAAAAAAATTATACAATTCATAATTATTTAACGCACCTCGGAGTTATATCATACATTCATACTATCATAATTTAGAGTGAACACATACAACAACAAAAATATAATATGTTAAGATGTATAGTGTTTTTTGTTTTCACTTGCACATTCGCAAACGGAATAAATTGGCATTCGTCTCAGATCATATTAAGACATCTCTATGACTTACAAGACGACCAGTTTGCCGTAATCAAAGAATATTTGGAACTGGAAACAAAGCGAATGCACGACTTGGAGCGGTGAAAATTTTTTAAAAAATAATTTAATAGATTTATATTTTTAACTTATTTGTAATAAAAAAAAAAGATACACAAATAAGAACTTTTCAAAATTATTATCTTGCAAACCAGACCCATATTTTATGCGTAACACTAACGTAATCGGAAAAGGTCTACAGCATCAAAATTGCTCTTATTTGTTAGTTACGTTATTGCCATTGTGTAAATTTAATAACTTTTTATAATACATATAATATGTTTGTTATTCTTATTCATATTGTAATACTTATTCAATATGTTTTTTAGTTTAATAACTCCAATTATTGATTGGTACATAAATTATTCATATGTGAAACACACCATAATACTTAGTCCCGTCGGTAGTTCAAAATTGATGTCACGGGTGTACAAAAACTTATCCGAAATAAAAAAATTTATGAATAATTATAATTCAGTGAAAGGTAATTATGCGTATTCGTTTTAAAATTCAACATACCACACCACCACATTGTATGTCTGATTGATAAATTATTGGTGATTACGAAAAACACAGTCATTGATCAATTTGACGAACACAAAGCCGTCAGTGAATTTAATATGCAATCAGCGTATCGGTCTCTAAGAAGGATTCAAAAAGTGTACGCGATTCCTGCATCCGACATGGCTGCAGGTAGATATAAGGATCGGACCATCGGAGACCCAATGGACGGTAAGCTCTATGTGACGGATCCGCTATTATAAATTTGCAATAGTAAATTTTACCTATAATTATTATTATAATTACCACATCCGACAATAATTGTTTGATGATTATCAAAGTTTTTGATTTTAATTTTTAGCTTGTGAATGTTATCTCATGTCTAAATATAGTTTCGAAGAATATGACACATACGGTGTAATAGATTGGGCTGTTCAAGCTTATAATAAATGGTTCACCGATCGTCCAAAATGTGTAGACATAGATAAATTGCATTATTATACAAGATCAGCATCGATGACTACAGGTATACCTACACAATAATTGAGTAATAATTCATAATTTTTGTTAACTTACAACTATTCATAAAAATAAATAGGTAAGTATTCAGTACATAGTATTAAGTACCTACCTAGTTATAACTCATAAAAGTACAAATTGGATCTAGTTGGTACTTTTAGGAGGTCGACAATTCTCAGTAGTTTTTAAAATGATTGGAGAAAAAAATGAAAATTTGTTAAAATTGTTTGGTAACCTTGATTTACTTTTTTCTATAAATGTCAATAAAAAAAAAAAAACCGGTCAAAAAGCTTAAAAATGTAAAACATGAGTTTTTATTATAGCTAAAGTATTAACGATACGTTGACATGGTTATTTTTTATAAGCATTTAAAGTTCAAGTTTTGACAAAACCACAGTTAATTTGTAGTTCAAAACTTATAAAATATTAAATTTGTATTACTACTTGAAACTCGATAAATATTTTCAAAAATATTAATAATAATACGGCAATGGGGGGGGGGGGCTGGCTTTAACCCGTTAGCCCCCCCCCCTGTGTACTCCACTAGGTATAGGTAATAGTACACATAATATCTGTGTTAATCAACAACGTTAACTAAAGAGTTAATTTTTTATTAATTAACATATGTTAAGCTATTATTGTTCGATTATTTAACACCGATAAATTTAACCCAAAAACGTTGAGAAAAAAAACAATACATAAATACATACTAATATATACCTATTATTTAGGTTGTACTGGAACGTAAATAATAAAGCTTTGTTTTTTTATTCAGGATTTAGTTTTGAAACTATATTGGGTTTTAGTAATCTGAATCATTCAGATAGCACTGAACTTTCTGCACATTTTTCTCTAATGGCAAACGCTTTAAACATTCGCGACATCAGTGCACAATCTGCGGATATAATATATGATAAATACGATGTAAGAATTTTCAATAATTATAACTACACCTATTAACGGTATCCGGACATTTCCCCCCAGCTGTTTCCGGCGTAGTATAGGACATTTCCCCCCCGATACATTTTTGGATGTGAATATTTTCCCACCGTTTGGTTTTTTTTTTTTTTTTTTAATATTTACTTCGAATATAAAATTATAATTTTAATGTCTTAAACACATATTTTTTTAGCTTTTGTTCATATATATATATATATATATTTTTTTGTAAGAATTGTAAGTTAACTAAAAAAATCTTTAAAATAAAAAAATAATAAATAATATTTAAAACAAGTTAAGAAAAAATATAATTTTAAACAAAATATAGTCTAAATCATATAATATAGTACAATACAGCTGGCCAAAAAATCCGACGTAAAAATAAAAAATATTGTATAGACAAAATATAATGAATTCGTTGGATAAATTTAACGTTTCTATTGCGAAAAGTCTGGAAGGAGTTGAGTTACACTAGCTTTACAATTTTTATTTTTTTTCCACACACCTATCTAACTTTGTTATTAGCAAGATTTTTTTGTTTTGTATTCATACAGTCTTTAAGAAAAATTTTTAAACCTCCTCTGTCTGTTTTAAGAATTTCTATTTTATCCATGAGCACAAAAAAAAAAAATTTAAAACAAGAATTTTTATTTTAAAACGTATATAATCACTATAACCAATAAGCCACTACTAAACTGCTTTGAACAGTTTTGAAATAAAATGTTCACTCAATGCTCTACTAGTAATTGACTGGGTTTTGGACACAGTTTTAGATTTCAATGTTACCCATCTAATTCAATATTAGTATACTATAGTACTATACTATTTTACTTTTACATATTTCAAACTATATTTTTATTTAACTTGTTTTAAATATTATTTATTATTTTTTTATTGAAATTAAGATTAAAGATTTTTTAGTTAACGTATAGTTTTTACAAAAAAAAAAAATAAAAAAATATGAACAAAAGCTAAAAAATATGTGTTAAAAATAATAATTTTATATTCGAAGGTAAATAATTAAAAATAAAAAAATAAAAAAAACGGGGGGGGGGAAATGTTCTACTACGCCGAAAACAGCCGGGGGGAAAATGTCCAAGGGGAAAATATTATGTTCGGTGTTCGTTCGTTGAATGTATAAACGCGTATTTGACGTGTGAATATTCTCCCAACTGTTATATTATTAAATATAGAACTTCGTTTTTAGGATTTTGAACAATCCAATCTATTTAGAAATTTCCGCTATTTATGTAGGAAAGGAAAATCAGTGAGACCCTTAACGTATGATTCTAAATGCCGTTATCAAACAAAAAATTCTCCGTATAGGATGATAATGCCTTTCAAAGAAGAAGATATCAGTAGTAATCCGAACATAAAACTATATCATGACATTATCTATGACGAAGAGATTAAAACTATTACTGATATGGCTTCTAAAGACGTAAGTAAATCATAAAATTAGTATAATATTTACAATCGTATAGTCGTATGTACCCATAGGCGCCAATCGCATCGGGCTAAGGTGGCTTTGCCCCCATCTATCCTATTAGCCCTACAAAATATACAGTTTTTAGGTGTGAGGGATTGAAGCCTTCCTTCATATAGTCAAATAGCAAATATTAAAATTGTTACCCCCCCCCCCCCCCCACATGGAATTTTAATGGATTTCCGCCTATGTATGTAACTATTGTACCTAAATCACCTACTACATAAAACGGTTCAGAAGCCCCTAATAACTACGATTTAAATTTTAAGGGGACGCCAGTCGATGAAAAAAAGTGACGTTTAAAGCAAAAAGCCAGACAAAACTGGAGGAATTTGGTTTGACGGATTTTAATTTTGAAAACGGATTATGATTGATTAACAAGTTTATTAGGTTTCCATAGAGGCGATTTTTAATATTCCAATTATTGTTAGTGACATAAAGCGTATTAATGTGTTAATATTTTATTTCCATAATATCATATTTTTATTCATGGATACCAGTATACCACAGCTGAAAAAATAGATATTCAAAATCATTATTTTAAATAATCGTAATTATATTAAATCATATTTTAACCTTCAGTTTTGTCTGGCTTTTTGGTCTAAAAACCACTTTTTTTTCATCGACTGCAACCCACTTAAGATTTATTTTATGATACGGAATTAAAGTATAAGAATTTAAATATAATCTAACCTATTTAAAATTTTTAAAATAAACCAAATTTATGTTTAGATTTGACAAATTTACATTAGTTTTAAATTTTGACAAAATCAACTGGAGCCGCCTTAATTAATTAATCCCCCAATATATTAAGGTGACATATTCTAGGGGAAGAAGAGAGGAAGATAATGTGTGTGTGCGTGTGTGAGAGAGAGAGAGAGAGAGAGTGAGAGAGAGTTTAAGGGAGGTTCACTTAACGCATTTAAACTTTTAAATTACATATAGAGACGTAATTTATTTTTTTATTGTTTTTTATATGATTTGAACTTTGTGCACATCAAGGGTTGTTAATTGTTATACGCAAATGTGGGCAAGTTAATGAAACTAATTAACCCAAGTTAAGTTAAGTTAAGAAGACACAAGATCAATAAGTTAAAAGTTAATAAGAAATAAAATATCAACTTAACTCGGTTTAAAAATAGTTAATCTAATTTTTTAAACTAGTATATGAAACACATATAATGAGTGACTGAGTTCTTTCTAATTTCCTAAATTAGAATAATAATTTATATTGAACTTTCAATGTAACGTGCAGTATATGCACCTATTTTACTTCACATGATTATTAAATATTTAAACTTTACCAAAACATCTAAATTAATAACTTAACAATGACAATTAAATTTTTATATCAAATAGTAATTTAAAGTCATATAATATTATGTCTTTCTAATCTACTAAAATATATCTTTGTGCAAAATATTTTTATTAAGAAAAATAATAGAAATATTAATAATTACCCATAATAGTTTTAGATTATTTTTATTTTTATTTTATTATTAATATTTAAGTATAAAAACATAAAAACTAAAAATTTCAAAAATTGTTTAACCTGATGGATTATTTTTAAATAAACTTAAAAAAGTTAAGTTATTTCAACTGTCAATTAAACTAGTTAAGTTTATAAGTTGATTAGAAAAACCAACAAACTAGTTTAGTTAAAAAGTTTAAAAAAATAAAACTTGTAACTAAACTTTAACTTTTTAACTATAGTTAATGCCCACCTTTGGTTATAACTTATAAGTTATTTTGCAATACTGCGGATTGACTACAAATACCTGAACATAGTTTAAATTATAATTTATGACCTAAACTATATAGTGAACAGTCATATATACGATATACCACCTAAATATAACAATAAATTGACTTACTTCAGTCGCAGAAATTACTATTTTATACTATATTTCACTCTGCAGTTGTCCGACGCAGCATATTACTTCAACGGTAAGATTACTTTGTTGGATGACAAACGTCTGGGTCAGCTGAAATGGTTTTCGGAAAATGCAAACCCAATCCTGTTTGGTAAGCTGAACGAACGTATTGAATGCATCACCGAGTATTCGACCAAGACAGCCGAAGGATATCAAACGGTCAACTACGGCTTAGGCGGTCATTTCTCCGTACACATGGATGCATTTACAGATGTGCGTATTATTTTTTTTATTATATATCCACCTACGAGTTTATTTTAAACTATAATATCTAACCAGTAACCTGGTATAACCACTATTATGTTTTCAATTGTGTACAGGTTTTCAATCATTTGGATCCCCTTTAGTTACCAAACGATACCGCTAAAGGCGGGTTTCCACTATACACGTATGCGTTCACGTGCATACAAATCATTTGCTGTGATTGGTTGGTTATGTTAAGTTACCACACGATTAACCACGATACCGTGTTGTTGGACATAGCTGAACATTTTTCGTGTACACGGCAAACGTGTATAGTGGAAACCCGCCTTTAGTTGAATATATATTCAACTTTTGACCGTGTGGTTACATTTATGTGCGGAAGAGTGATAACTTGATAACTTTTGAGCACATTATACATGTAACCACACGGTTAAAAGTTGAACAATATATTCATCTATGCGGTATAGTTTGGTAACTATGGTATCTGTGATTAGTTTACACGTCACGGTGTAGTGTGAACCCGGCTTCACCCATACAAGCAGTTGCACCGTTGAAATTATGTTGTAAACATTAATTAAACCACGTGACGCACGTGTTATCTTTTTACTGTGTTTTAAATTCAAATGTGGTTTATTACTTAATATAATAAATAATAATACTTAGGAATATCCACATCATAAATAAATATATTGTCCTGTTGAATTAATATCTATGTTTGTATCAATATGGGATTGACTTTTATTTCTTTTTAGGGCCCTAAGTTGAACGGCAACAGATTGGTCACCATACTATTTTATGTTCGTTATTTATCATAATTTATCAGATTAAATAAAATGATGACATAAATTGACAAAAAAATGTTTTTTGTCTCTTATAGATGTCTGACGTCCCAGATGATGGGTATACTGTATTTCCAAATTTAAATTATGTTGCACATTGTCGTAAGGGATCGGCTTTAGTCTGGCTAAACTTATACTTGAATAATGGTACTGTACATAGTGGCACTTTTCATGGAGGCTGTCCTGTGATAAAAGGAAATAAATGGAGTGAGTAATTTCATAATATGCAGCAGGGTAGGTTATAGTAAATCTCGAATAAATTACTGTTGCCGACATATGAGCAAAATAATGCAAAAACATAGTAAGGACCAAAGACTATACAATATCGAATGAGGCAGTTTAAAACAAATTAACAACCAAATATAGGTATCTATATATAATTGTTTTTGATTACAAGTGTAATATAAATTATAATTGGAAGTATAAAAAATTGATTTTGCTGTAAGTTGTAGGTAATATATTACTCTCTTCAACAGTTTGTAACTAATATTTTTTATCAATTTTAGTTATGACAAAGGGATTATACGAAGAAGGACAACATTTAACATACAATTGGCGAGATAATAAAATAATAAACATAGTTTAGAAATATTGTTTATTAATTTGTTAGGTGTATGTATATTATATTTTAATTTTAATTCAAATAAAATATATATATTACATGTACCTACCTATTATGTAATATGTACACGGTTGTGTACCTTTATATACATATAGCCATATAGGTTACATACTACGTATAGTATACCTGTGTGCTTTTACTAATTACATAATATTCAATAAGTAATTTAAAATAAAATAATAAATTGAATTACTATAACAATTGTATACCTCTGTATATTATATACCCAAAAAGTGATCAAATACATGATGTATTTTTATATAATTATCATAATTTAGTAATTTCTCAGATTTTATCAAAATACCCTAGCCCTCCCCCTTCTAAAAATATGTGGAGCTTACTGATGCCTGTATATTAAAGTACCTACCTATACTCTTACTATAATACGATTCCAATGGATATTGCCGATATTGGTTTCATAATTATATTTCTTATCCCATTACAATATTATGTACGTACAGTATTTATATTTCCAGTCTCTGTGTCATTTAAACAAAATACAAAATGCATACCTAACTGAATAAACAATCATTATTATTACTCTAGTATGTTCATGATATTTATTGTTTCGTTATAATAATAATAAGTCTGTGCCTACAACTACCAGCTTATATTATATTATAATAGTAAAATATTATATATTTTTAAAAATCTAAACAGGTTACACTAGTTATTATTACAACATACATTGATATGGATAATGTAGTACCTATACCTAACCCAGATAAATTTCAATTCACTGCGAATGCACCTAACCAAATAGTTCATCCATTTATTTACATGCATGGTTTTAAAATCGTGAAACGTTTTATAGATACGAGTAGTTTGTTTTTGTTATATATATATAGGTGGTACCAATATATAATAACTATAGTTGATGCGTTGTGTAGACTGTAGGTACCTACGTGATCAAAGTAGTTATGATTGATGGATATAATATATAATTTGCAGAAGACTCTTATTGCTTTATATTTAATTCACTTAAACTCGTGCCACGGCAACAATTGGCATTATTCGTTGTCTTCAATCCATGAACTGTTCAACTTTAAAGTCAAATATATAATTGCAACGGAAACATACATAAAAAAAGAGTATAAAAAAATGTTCTGGCTTATAGAACAACGAAAGAAACAAAACCAAAAAGAGTTGGCAGAGTCGTACACAGAGAGCTCAATTAATGATTTCAAAACCATTCTACGAAATAAAAGTGATTGGGAAACATTAAAAAATAAAACACTACAAATAAAACTGGGATCGGTAAATTTAAATATTATCGATTTAGTCAAAATTTTTTTGTTTTAAATTTGATTGACTTTCGTCTACCTATTAATTCTTCCTCGTGTGTACAGTATAAATTTAACTTTTAAGTATATTTTAGATTCTGAGCAGAGCAAGGAAGCTAGTGATTTTACACTGGTGTTTATTTTATTTTTTTATCCTGTATACAACATTTCTACCCGAAGGAGGGCTTTGATTTCAACATATAGTAATTTAAGAGAGTAATTTAGAGAGGTAATTTTTCGACCTTCTCAATAGTTATTTAATGAAAGCCACCGACAAACTACGAAAAAACAGGATTTTAATTTCTTTTTATTTATTTATCACCATAAGGCATAGAAACGAATAAATTTTAGTTAGTATCCCCCGATTTGTTGTGTAAAACCACCTTGGGAAATGTTGTTAAAAAGGACATATCTAATCTGTTAGCGTATTGCCACTCGCTCACTGAGCTGCGGTCGGACAAAAAAAAAAATCAAAAATATCCCTTGATTTGTTATGTAAAACCACGAAGAGTTTTGGTAGCCAGGGAAGGTGCTGATGGGGCTGCACCCCCCAAATGTTAAGAAAATTTAAAAATTATTTTAATGGTCTATGATAGTCTCTCAAAAAGTCTTAGATAGTATTTAAAATATTTAAAAATGTACTATAAGTATTAACACTTTTCATCTGTGCAGTATGCTAGTACGTATTTACTGAGTAAAAGTGTAAAAGTTGATCAGCCCCCCAACCGAAAATAAATCCTGCCTACGCCATTGCCATGGGTATAGGCCTCGGAATTAAACAATGTTGTTAAAAAGCAATTATCTTCAGGTAGAGTATAGGCTAATGGTAAAAAAAATCGGGGGGGGGGGAGGAGATCAAGTATTGCCGACTGAAATTTAATTTATGCTGAGTCATAATTTCTAAAAAACAAACTACATGAAGTTTAAAAATCCTTGGTTTTTCTGTGTTAAGGTGAAGTAAAATAGTTAAAACAAAAACATACAGATGTAAAGATACAAGGCTGTCGGAACTATTTTAAGATCTAAAAAATAAGTCATGTACTAATCTAAATCAATCAGTGTTTGTCAATAACTCAAAAAATTAAGTAAATAATAAGAATTTTTTTAATTTAGCAAACGGATGATGGCAGTACATCATATTTAACAAAAAATATAACCAGATTACCTGAAGTATAAATATTGTATTTCACATTTATTTATTATGTGTTATAAACAAATTTAATAATTAATATTTTGTATAAAAAAACGTTTATTATACTGCCATATAACATGTGTAATTACTTATTAATTAATTAACTTATTATAAATTAAAAATGTAAAAGCTAATAAAATAAAAAACATAACAATTAATTCATAACAATTAAATAGTCATAAATAATTAAGTAAAATATAAATAATCATACATATTTTTAACTCATAAAAAATAAATAAATATATACCTATTTAAAATACTTCCAACAAAATGTATACAATTATACGGAGTTCATTTAAAGTTGCCCAATATTTTATCGTCATTTTCTGTATCAAAAATGTTTACTTCCAGTTCAATAACTTTTTATAACTTTCAGTACTTGTAGTTAAATTTATTTCCTACTAGGATTTATGAGAAACTTTAAACTTAACAACACATTTTATACTTAAATTAGTAATCTCATACATAATATGAAAAAGGTCGACATTTGACTAGGCAAATGTACTTGCCCGTATAATTAAATTTTTTAAAAAAAGGCCCCTATCTAGTATTCTAACTACTTACATTATTAGAATTTTTACTACACGATACAAATTGAAATATTGTAAAATATCTTCATTATATGTATGAATATATCATAAATATTAAAATTATTATCTATGGTATTAATTGACTGAGTACAGACTAATTTTATTATTATAAAACTGTGTATTACCCACAAGAACTGGTTACATCTTGTGTGATTTGTGTACCTAATTCTTTTGCAAAATATCTTCATAATATGGTTGTACAAAATGGTTCATCGGTGTGTTGTTTCTGGAACCAATGACAAAAATGACACAACATTATCTTTCCATTTGTAAGTATTTTTTAATTAGTGGGGTATGCACTCATCTTATGTATGATATAACACTTTATTCAACTAAACAAATTTATATTTCTCATAGCTTTCCAAAAAATGATTTGTTTCATTTCAATCAAGAAATTATAAAATAATTATTGTGGCTGTTTATATCCCTCCAAATAGTTCTGTTGATGTATATAAAATATAAATGCCAATGTGCTGAGATAGAGAACTTAAGGTTAATCTTCTCTGACTATACTTTTATAATAGTTGGTGATTTTAATTTACCTGGGATAAACTGGTCTATATAATCAATATCACGCTATATTATCTGGTCGTGCCACTGATAAATCAAATATTCTTGCTGAGACTATTGCGTATGAGCAGTAATTTCAACACAATTTTATACCAAATTATCAAAAAAAATCAAAATAATGAATTAAATTGCATAATGTTGGTACGCCTACGACTATTAGTAAAGTAATTATTTTTTGAATGAGGAATAGCAAAGGGCGGGTTAAATCTTGAATTAAAAGAAGGTACTTTAGATACAATAAACGTGATACCATAATATACTAATCTTCTTGTTTTAAGTGACTGCATACGTATAGAGTTCGCATTTTCAACAGTATGATTATATGGGTAATTAAAAGCATAAATACATAAACATTTTTTTTGTATTTTTTCTAATTTATTAAATAAACCAGATTGACTAGTGTTCAAAACCGATCCATATTCAAGTAAAGACCTTACCAGTGAACAATACAAAACGTTCATACAAGGTGCATCATTGAAATTAGAGCTGGAGCGTATATATTTACATTACAATTATCCTGAACAAGATTTTTTAGATTATAATATTATAATATTATGTACAACTGAAAAAAAAATGTGACAATAAAATGGCCACAAATGAATTGGTCAAATTGTCAAGTTTTTATGATTATTATATTCTGGTTAGTAAATATAATAGACTAAACAAAATACTAAGTAATGAGTTTTTGGTAATTGTCCATGTTTTTTTAATCAAAACTCAATGTTCGCTCGATTACTATCTGAACATTTCAAAAATAAGTACCTATAACGACCTTTTTATAATATCAAGAGTTCAAAACCAAATGTTTTAAATATCCCATCGCTGATTAAATGTAAATAAAAATATATAATTTAATTTGACAGGTGTTAAAATTGCTTACCATTGGTTTTCTCTTTTTAAAAATCATTGAGGGATTTCTATTTAAAACGAACCTTTTCCATTTTTCTAATTTTTCAGGACAGCTGTTTTATGTTTCTCTAATTTTTAAACGATTTCGATAATATGAGATACACCATTTAAAAATACGTAAAAAAAAAATTGATAAATCAAGTTTGCGATATCGAAAGCTTTCTTCATAAAATTTCTACAATAAATTTTTAATTTTAAACTAAAGAAACTGATTTTGGACAAAACGTTCCTTTTCCATGAATACGGCTCTTTATGAATAAAAAACTAGAATAAGCGCCTTTTGGAAAAAAACAAATCAATTTATATCCATCATAATTAATTCCTGACAAATATTTTCCTGAATTAATTGATCCTAATAAAAATTAAGCTCCACCGTTGACACTGGCCATGTTTGCGTAATACATATTATTATTTTTTGTGAATTTATGTATAATTTAAATATATTTTATGTTCATGATCTTGACTTTTTTTTTTCATAAAGTTAAGAGCTTCTGAGGTCCCTTATACTAACGTTATACCTTTTTTTTTTTATACAATATATCTTCAATATCAATAAGTCTTTTTGAAGGTGATCGTACATAAGTATGTAATAAAAAAAAATGTCCCTATAAATAAGAACCGTCCTAAGATGTATGGTTTATATTATAAAAAACAAAAATTAATGATATATTTATTTTATTGCTTGTAATTTATACCTATTAATAATTTTAAATTCCCTTACAAAAATAATGTTACTTATTACATTTAATTAATTATTCGTAATGTAAACATATAAATGAATAATAGAAGATAATACATTTTTTGCTGATAAATTTATTTTTACAACATAATAAATAATTAAATAATAATTAAGTACAATTTATCCAAGGAAAAATGTAATGTTTTATCCTTTCAGACATTTAGAGGATAAAAAACAATTTGATCTAGTAAAGAATAATGATAATAATTACACTAACATAATTTATATATAAACTCATTGTTTTAAAGTAATTAAGATATAATTATATTCTTTCTCATCAGATAACTTAAAAAGTGTTTAGCTATAATCATTATTATTATTAAATGCACAAAAAATTAAAACAGGAAGTAGTAGTAAGTAAAGTCATTAGCTAAAACAGCTTCTCTTAGTTTTTTTAATCAGTAAATATTATTATGAATTTCCTTATGGATATTTAATCTTGATTTTATAACAAATGTCTTATCACAGATACACACTTGTGTGGCTTCAACCCAGTATGAATCTGTATGCACTTTTAAATGTATTGCTTGTGTAAATGTCTTAGCACATATATTACATTTATTAGGCTTGTTGGCAGAAATAGAATGAATGCCCATATGTCTTTTTAATTTTGATGCAATTGGGAATGTCTTATTACACACGATACATCTGTGAGGATTTTCGCTTTTATGCTTCATCATATGGTATTGTAGAGTGGTTGAACTATTTAATGATTTATGACAGATGGTACATTTATATGGTTTTTCTCTTGTATGGACTGATAAATGTGATTTTAGGTTGGTTTTATTACAAAATGTCTTGTCACACTCCTTACATTTGTGAGGTTTCAATCCTGTATGGCTCATCATATGTTGTACCAAACTTGCATTAACAGTAAACCTTTTACTACATATTGTGCATTCATAAGGCTTTTCACCAGTGTGAATTCTTGAGTGCTCTTTTAAATGGCAACGGTCAAAAAATGTTTTATTACAGACGGTACATTTATAAGGCTTTTCTTTAGTAGTATGCAACCATTCGTGTCTTTTCAAATGTGAATAGTTATAATATGAATTATTACAAATGTCGCAAGTGAATGGCTTTTCTCTTTTACTTTTATGAATCATTTTGTGTCTTTTCAAATGTCCTTTATTATCGAATGTCTTATTACATACATCACAATTGTGAGGTTTTACTCCGGTATGTTTTCTCATATGACTGTCAAAAGTTGCTTTAAAGAAAAATCTTTGATAACAGATATCACACTCATATGGCATATTTCCAGAATGAACCCTCATATGAATTTTCACATATCCCTTCCGGGAAAATGTCTTATTGCAAACACTGCATTTAAGAGAATTGTCTCCTGTATGATTTAAAATATGAGTAATCAATTGAGGTTTTTCATGAAACAATTTTTTACATATATCACATGTAAAAGTGGGTTTTCCACTATATATTCTCATATGTCTTCTCCTACTTAATTTATCTGTAAATACTTCACGACACAATGTGCATGTTAACATCTTTTCCTTGAAGTTAGAGCTTTTGTCCGAATCCATATGTGTAATGAAATCTGAAGAGTGTTTTTTGGTAAGAATTATACCATCAAACTCAAAACTATCCATAACATTTTTTTCAATTTTTATTCCAGCATCATGTATCGTGTTTAGTTTTTCTTCAGTTGCACGAACAATCCTAAAATATAAAATATTATTATGATATTAAATAAAATAAAATAATTTGTGAGGTCATTACATTTGTAAATATATTGAATTATTTTCTCAGAGAAAAAGAATGGTTACTATTTTGGCAATACCTACTAAAATATTAATATTTTTGTTCACATATCCATATATTTATGTGGGATTATTTGTATTATCATCAGATTTACTATTATCAGTTCTATAATCTATTGTATTGTATTAGTATGTCGTGGAGCTACAACAATAAGCAAATTCAAAATAAATTTACAATTGTATGATAAAATGAAGTGAAGGATGCACATCTTTAAGCCAGGAATATCTAAGATTTTTAATGGTGCTGCAAGTAATCATAACACAGGTAATATAAAACAAAAATATATGTCAGGTGTTTCGAACACAATAATAAGATGATATAATTGCGGATCCAAAGGACATCAACATAGGGAATGTCCAGACTTGGATAAAGGTCCTAAGTGTTTTGCTTGTAGATCTTTTGGCCACAAATCAACAGAATACCCTGATAAGGAAACTTAGACGAAGCAAGTGAATAATGATGAAAAACCACAAGTTTATCAAGTGAATGCTATAAATACTAATGATCTAATATTTAAAGAAACTAATGTCTTAGGAAGCCAAACGTTAGCTCTTATAGACATTGGCTGCGATTTGAATTTATGTCGACAATCATTAATTGAAGGTATTGACGGTGTCATTGCAGAAGTTAGTCTTAGAGGACCAGCTGGAACTATGTTTTGTACCAAGAAAAAATTCATCACTGAATTAGAAGTTGATAATGTTACTTATACAGTTGAAGTACACTCGGTAATATACTTGTAGTCCTGGAGTGATTGAAATCAACGAAATAACTATCGAAACAAATGAGTTTGATGTAGGATTTAGAGAACACTACCTGGTTATAAGGAGTATGATACCTAATCATGTACCATGTGCTACAGAAACTACACATATAAAAACTAAAATTATAGTCAGTGATGAAGAACCCATCTATCAGTAATCAAGGCGTTTATCACCAAAAGAAAAAGCAGTTGTGGGAAGTCAAGTGGAGGAATGGATTAAGAAAGGAATTATAAGACCTAGTTGTTCAGATTATGCTAGCCCAATATTGTAATTATCCCCAAGAAAGATGTTACGTTTCGGGTATGTGTTGACTATCGATGATTGAATAATAAAATTATTAAGGATCGGTACCCCTTACCTTTGATAGAGGACCAACCAGATAAGCTTCAATGAGCCAAAATATTTACAACATTAGACCTAAAGAATGGTTTTTATCATGTGGCTTCGGACGAAGAGAGTATTAAATACACATCTTTTATTACACCAGAGGCACAATATGCATTTATGAAAACGCCATTTGGATTGTGTATTGATCCACCTGTATTTCAACACTTTATAAACCATGTATTCAAGGATATTGTTACCGTTGATTTTTTAGTGGACTGTAGGTAGATGTAAGTGTAATTAACAGATTTTATTTTACTACATTATTTAGTTTATTCTGCGGCGACCGACACGGTGACAAGTATATGTACACTGATACATGGTTGAACACACACTAAACGCTAAAGGTATAATAAAATTGGACATTGATTCAGATAACATTTAATACAGATAAACGCAATAATAATGATAATAATATAATACACGCGTCACCAGATATAATGTGGATGGGATATTTGTTAATTTATATGAATGACTTAGTAATTATTTCAAGCACAGTTGATGAGAATATTGAAAGACTGAAGATAGTATCAGGAACCTCGGCTAACCATGGTCTAAAAATTAATTGGAAAAAATGTCAATTTCTCAAAAAAGAAATTAATTACCCGGGATATCGAGTCAAGCACAATAAACTGAGTCCATCACCATTAAAGCTGGCTGTTGTGGTAAAATATCCAAGAATACAAAGTGTAAAGCATATACAGAGCTTTTTAGGACTCACCAGATATTTTCGAAAATTCATCAAGGACTACGCTTTGATTGCCCGGCCATTGAGCGAAATACTTAAGGAGGGGATACCATGCGTAATTGGGCCTCAACAGGAAAGTGCATTTAATATGTAAAAAAAAAATTAACTAAAGCACCTGAATTAGGAATTTTTAACCCGGATGCAGTTACGGAGGTGCACACTGATGCCAGTATGTATGGGTTCGGTATGGCCATACTTCTACGGAAAGATTGCAATTATCTATTGTACCCTATATACTTCATGAGTAAGAAAACTACACAAACACATCAAAGATACCATAGTTAAGAATTAGAAGTTTTAGCAATTATTGAAGCTGTAAAGAAGTTTAGATCCTATTTATTAGAACTGCAGTTCAAAATATTAACTGATTGCACTGCATTTACTAAAAAACTAGAGAAAAGGGAACTTGCAACACGTGTAGCCCACTGAGCATTGTTGTTGAGCGAATTTAATTACACTATTGAGCATCGAACTAGGTCCAATATAGCCCATGTAGTTGAGCCGGTATCCCATATGCATGACTATCAATAGTGAATCTATAGCACAATTACAGAAAGCGCAACAGGATGATATTAAGGTAAAAACCTTAACTTCAGAAGCAAGGATAAATGGGTGTGGTTCATATATTGTAGAAAATGATTTGCTTTACGAAACACGAGATGAAAGAAAATTACTGGTTATCCCAAAAGGCATGCTAAAAGAGTGAATTCGAAATGCACATAATGTTGGCCATTTTGGTGTTAAAAAAGTTGTTGAACTGTTAGAGAATATTCCATTTCTAACATTCGTGAAAAGGTGGAACATTTATACAAAATTGTGTACCTTGTATTTTAATCAACCGAAAACAAGGGAAATAGGAAGGATTCCTTAACACAATTGACAAAGATGATCTGCCATTACATACTTGGCGCATATGTAGGACCGTTGACAAATACCCCTCGAGGATATAAGCATATTCTGGTTATTATTGATGAATTTACAAAATTCTGTTGGCTCTTCCCAACAAAAAGTATTACATCAAAAGAAGTTCAAGACAAAATGAACATTTTACAAGCTACATTTGGTAATCCAACACGAATGATATCTGACCATGGTGCTGCGTTCAAATCTGGAGAGTTCAAAAATACTGTAGTGATTCACACACATATACCATGTGCAGATTACCACAGGAATGCCAAGGAGAAATGGGCCTGTTTGCGAGGAAATGAGATTGAATGATACAAAAGCGACAGTAGTACCAAAATTGACTATTGATAATCCAGGTCAATGGTTTAAATATGTCCCAAGAGTACAGGTGGCATTAAATATTTCATGGCAACGATAAATTAATATGACTCCATTTAAATTAACGTTTGGAACCGAAATGAAACACCCAGATCTACTCCCATTATGCAGTTTAATAAAAGAAGAGTATGCAAAAAGTTTTTTTGGAAAAAAGAGAAGCAGAACTCAAGAGGCTAAACAATGCATACTAAAAGCTCAGCAAGAGCAAAATAAAACATTTGATCATAGAAGAGTAGCAGCAACAGATTAGAGGATTGGTAATTTAGTTGATATTAAAAGAACACAATTTCTTCCTCTATCCAAGATAAAGAGCAAGTACCTTGGGCCATATCGTATCACTGGTAGATGTGGTCCAAACCGATATGAAGTGTTGAAGGTGGGCTCAGGCGAAGGACCTGAAAAAACTAGCACGGACGAATTATATGAAAAAATCGAAAAGCTGCCCAACTTCAGATGAAGATAATAAAGATTCAGTGTCCGATGAGGACTCTGCTTAAGATGGGGACGAATGTGGGATTATTTGTATTATCATCAGATTTATTATTATCAATTCTATAATATATTCAATATTGTATTGTATTATTGTGTTGTTACTATTGTTATAAGTCTTATTGTCAAATTTTTGTGGTCACAATAACACATAGTCCCGTCAGTAGCCAGTGAACCGTGATTGTGTTATTTTGTACCGAGTAGGTTAAGTTGTGGCGAATTACAGTAATACAGAATTTCTTAATACTTACTATTATTATGTTTATTCATCACCATCAACCCAATTAAACTTATACGACACTGTATTAATTTCTACATTTATATAATACATTTATATTTATATATTACACTGGCCCACCTATTGTATGCAACTAATATATAATTATTTGATATATTTAAGTTTGCGTAACGTGGAGAGATCCTTAGCTATTTATGTGAGTCCAGGTTCTAAATATAGTTATAGCGTTTTGACTTATGTTAAACTGAGACCCCAAGTGTTCAGCATATTGTTACATTTGCAACAACAAGTACAGAAACGCACCATAATATTATTGTGTTCTTAAGGGAATTAGTGGCGATCAATATTATTTTAGCCAAAAGCCCAAAACTTACATACCAATATTGCATTGTTTTGTCAATCATATACTGATCAACCTAGTAATGCGATAATACTTAATAATAAAACTGATTTTAATTCATTATAAAGTTTACTTGATCCGTCAACTTTTCTAATTTTACCCTCTAATACCTATAAATTTTGTTTGAATATTTTAAAAGTTAAGAATTTTCAAATGTTGATTATTTTAATTGAAATAAGAAATAAAAAAATGTCTTATAACATTATGTTATAAATTCAATTCTTACTCTATTTTTATTGGTTGATCATCATTAATAATTTGGTCTCTTTCATCAATTATTTCTTGTTTAATAAATTGGTCACATCTAATGAGTGGAATTGTCAACTTTCTAGAACTTTGTAATATATAATTGTACCTAAAAGAAATTGCAAAAATATTAATTGTTTGGTAGATAATTACTGTTTAAATTAGACAATACATAAATTATAAGAACACATAGTTTTAGAAAATATAATTCTTTCAAAATGTAGGTTAAAATTTTGTAATATTACACCGTGTTACACTTATAATGTATTTGCTCAGTGGCGCCCAAGATATATTTTTCAGGTGTAGCAAGAAAAAATTTTAACCACCCACCAACCCTCTCAAAACTCAAAATTATATTATTTAATACATTTTATCATATTTGTATTGATAATATTAGTAAATATTAAGGTATCAACTAATATAATCTGTGATTAATTATGAACATATTTCAAGTTTATTATTTTTTGTTATTATACCCATCCACCCCTTATTTTCAAGGTGTAGCGACCGCTACACTTAGAAATAGGGTTGGGCGCCACTGTATTTGCTTACTTGGAATTTATCCCAGAATCAATAATAGTCTGTTCCATACTGCCCTCTTTATTGTTCTTCAATTACTGTGAACACTGAATATGAATCATTACAATTAAGTACAATTTATGTAACTCATCATTTGGTGTGGGAAAGAGTAAAGCAGTGGCGTATCCGGGGGGGGGGGGGGGGGGGGGTTAGGGGGTTGTAACCCCCCCGAAAATTGTTAAATTATAACAACGTTATCATTAATAAATCATTTTAAGATAAAATTCCACAAAAATAAATTATAACCCCTCCCGAAAAAAAATTCTGGATACGCTACTGGAGTAAAGGGTACATTATTAAGCTATTTAAATGGTTATTACGACACGGATAATGTGAATATAATGTAATAATGACGTACAATTACAGAACAATATGTAAAAATTCTGATCTAGAAACTAACAAGGAATTTTTTTTTTTTTTTTTAATGTTTTGAATGCTATATATAGGTAATTGTTGGTATCTATCTTAAGCTTGGGATAGAATTTCTGAAGTTACAATTCAAAATTATTTTGGGCATGCAAGATTTGTATGTCACCAAAGAGATCTATAGAAAATAATTTGCCAGTAGTAACCATTCCAAATTTTTAACAATACATTAAAATAGACATTGCATAATATAATTTGAGGAGCATTAAGTGATATTGAAGAGATTATTAACGCCGCATTTAAGGAAGATGACGAATGAGAGATAGAGGGATATGATGAAGAAAATATGGAAGATGATAGAAAAGAAAATTATATTTCAATAGAAGAATTTTAATCGAAAAAATAATTCAATTTGTTACATTAAATAATTATATGAGTATTAGGTAATGCAAAATTATTGAAAAAAATGTATTTGAAAGCCAAGCTGAAACAAATAAAATACGTAACTGAATATTTTAAATAGAAATTTTGTAATTATCTAAAATACTATATACATATATGATTTAGAAAATAAGAAAACATTATGTCATATACCCTCGCATATACCTATCTCAATAAATTTTTTTTTTAATTTTGTTTATATAGACTTATTTTAAATGGTCCCTTGATGGTCGTTATAGATGATATCTACTGTAGGTACTTATATAAAATTTAGAGTCGGTATTTAGGATTTTTACTTTTAAAATAAATGTCCACTGTGGAAAAATTGTTTATAGTAATATATTATATTATATTATAAGGAATAGGATTAGGTACACCTCATGTCTCATATATTTATTTAGTAACCATGCGTTCAACAGTTCCAGTTTTTGTAGTTTTTGTAGTTATTAATTGGATTAATTGATTGAATTCTATTATCAAAGTTTATGGTAAGAAAATTGAGAAAACACAGACAATGTAATTATTACCTTTAGTTTTGATAATAGCTAGGTACTTATGTTAATTCAAACTACCTATTATATTTTCAGGTAGGTAGGTACATCACACAATTGGATCTGCTGAGTGCTGAGGGCTGAACACAAATGTGTCCGCAAGTACCCTTTTTCAAGACGAACAGAACACAATATGCTGGAGTGCCGTTCTCTTAAGACTTACAGGGTATACGGCAGTAAGTACTTACCACTCAATTCACACTTCACAGTGGTAAACAGTTGAGTATTCTTAAAGTTGTTTTTGAAAATTTGCGTTGGTGCAGAATGTTTAGTGGGCGTGATGACACCAGTTAATGAACAGTGAACACTCCTAGTGAATGAACAAACTTTACGTTTTTAATTATGTTAAAAATTGGGCAACACTGATGTTTTAATAAATGTTATTGAAAAAAACTTAAAATTGTAGCTTTGTTGACACTGTAAACATAAGTATTTGACACGGACCACGAACATACAATAGTATAGATAGTAAGATATATCTTAGTCCGTGGTATTTGATAATTATTTGAATTACTGATAGTAATATCGTGGGCACGGACCACGATTAAAGATATACAGGTTGCACATCGCCCTAAAGCACGATTATAAAGAACAGGTTATGCGTCGGAAGGAATATTTTCGGTCAGATTTTGTTACGGCGGTGTAGTTCTTAAAACCGCCGAGCGCTGCAAGTCAACCGTGTTACATATTAACATTTTCCTATACAAACCATGTTAAAACTAATTTTTTAATTAATTAATTGACAAACCTTTTGTTTTAATATTAGCATTTTATTCGTAGGCAATTTATAGACCTGCATTTTGGGTGTAGCCTACTGTATTTTTAGACCTCTCTTTTTTTATTTCGGCCCTACTAACAATGTATACAAACTTTGATAATATTAAATTATTTTTCATCAACCTAATTGAATTATTATTATTAATTATAATATAATTTTTTAAGAGATGTGCAATGGTGTTTTAAAAATATTTTGATAAATTTTAAATTATTTAATATTTTTGTTTATTTTTTTTTTTAGTGGTTTTACAATGTTTGAAAAATGCCTATTGCCTAGTAATTTAATAAAATGTTCTTCATAATTTTGAAATGGAAAAATATACCTAAATTTACTATAATAGGGACCAGTTCTAAAGACTTAATTGTGGGGAGGGGGTGCTAGATCATAATTTTCACAAATAAATAATGATTATTCGGTGACGACAAAAACTATATCTCAATAATCAGTTATTATGTGGTCACTTACATTAGGAACCAGGAGTTAGAAATTAGTGTATGTATTATGTATATCATTGTGTTTTTTAGTATTTAAAAGTATAACGTTATTCTGTGTAGTACAAAGTAAATAGGTACATTTATATATATTATATTTACATATACCAATTCGAGCCCTAATGTAGTGCCAACACTAGAGTTTATTGGATTAAATTAGTTTAATCAAATTAACTCTACATATCAGATGGTAATTTCCTTTTTTTCACTGGGTTTGACAAATATTTTGGACCCGGAAATATACTTGGAACAGCATCATGAACAAGCTTTGCTCGTTTTAAATTTATCTATAAAAACGTTTAAGACATTTTTATATAAAAAAAGATTCATTGAACAAAGGATAAGTTACAGTACCTAGGGAATACCGTGACTTTTGAAGCACCAGAACCAGATTCCCAAGTTCTAACAATTTGATCAGGTGAAAATGTTTTTCACAAATCACTGTCTTTGAGTTGACAACAAGATTAGCACGAGGAATAGATTTTTCCCATTTTTCCCTCAAAATTTCATTTTTAGGAAATTGAAACAGTGAAACTTTTTCTGGGTTTGATTTATATCCTGACGTACAAGGTACAAAACACAACACAGCAAGAAGATGGCATGTTTCGATAATTCGGAAATAAATAATATAATAAAATAATAATATAATGACGTATGTCAGACGTATGACC